ACCGCTCAAATATGCGCTCGAGAACTGTAAGCTCCCATCTTTTCATGAAGATTTGACGTGGTTAACCATTGGATGTGCCCCTGGCGCAGAGGTGGTGAACCAGACGCGACGGCTCGAGAGCTGCGTAATCGACTACTTAACACAGACAAGCAATCTAATGGGGGAAACACTAGCAGCAAAAGAGGCTCGGGTGATGGTGCAAAGAAACACGAGACTTGAACTCCACAACTTGGCTTTCCGTATAATCCCGAGATGGGTTGGTATCTTCCAGAGAATATTCAATTGGAGGCTGATGGGTTTACTCAATCCATCATCACAAGCATACGTGCTGGAGTCCGATATACGAATGTCAGCTTCAAGCTACGTGGATAAATACGTAGATGAAGATACATCTACATTACGCCAGTCTTCTCCGCCTAGCCTTCCATTGCTTGATGAGATGATCCAAGTGAGTTATGGCCCTCTCAAGTCTCCTCTGCCATTATTGAATCATGAAGCCCAGGAGGATACCGACATGGACGAACCTACAGAATTATGCAGAAGGCTTTTCGAGTCTCCGAGAAGGGACGACGTGTTTGCAGTGGAATCGATGGATCGGGAAGAGGCTCGGGAAGATGACGGGACGATGAGGGGGGAAGTGGAAAAGGGTTTGAAGGGAGAAGATAGGTTAGGGGAGCTGTTGGAGAAGTGTAACATATTACAGAACTCCATAGATGACAAGCTCTCCATTTACTTCTGATTCCTACGCTGTCTGCTCTTCCCTTTTTCTTTTTCTTTCTATTTCCCATTTTATTAATCCAAATACCAAAATCTTGCAGCTTTTCTCAACGAATCTTCCAACTTTTTAGATTCAGTATTAAAACCGTACAAGAGACACTGCCGTATGTTGTTGTCGGAATCAGAAGAGGAAACTAAACCCTAAATCCGTATGTGGCAGACACGGACGATGAGATGAGAGATCTCTGTATGTTTGAGACAAAGGGTAATAATCATAGGATTTATTACATTTTCCATCATGAGTTCATCAATCTTTTCTGGTTTTTTTCCTCAAATAAAAAAAAAAATAGGGAGACGTAACAAGCCCAAGGTGATGCAAAGTGACCGCCCATGAAAACAATCATTGACCCAACACTATTCGATGATACAAAAGCCCAGTTCCTGTAAAGTCCGGATAAGACGATAAATTAATAATATAAAATGATCAAATAGATTCATTCCTGCACGTAAGATCCTTCACCCATGTTGAACGTGAGAACACTTCTCTCCCCATCTGCGTCCTATGTTCTTTACCTTTACCTGCAACAAGCATGCCGAAAAATGCAAATACCGCACCAGTTGAATACAATAAAAAGCCGGATTTCGAATATAAAAGGGGCTCATCATCCCGAGCATATAGTACTTGTAAATTGTAGTAATAGATGGATCTTGGCATTTAACAGAATCTCAGGCAAGGGAGCTGAGAAGAAGAACACACAATCCATTTCAAGCGTTACACAGGTTTTTGATCTGTACAATGATAACTGTGATATCATCTGTACGGTTTTCGTGCTCCAACCACAATTTGTATGATTCGGCTGCAACCGTAGCACATGCGTCCCGTGGATCTGCATATTTCGCCACCTGCAGTTCAAGAACGACATTGTGGAAAACTTGCACCATGATCATGCATAAACAACATCTCATTTCTAAAGAACCAGGACCATCCTGATTCGAACAGAATACGATGAAATCTGTAAAGGGTTTTTGGCTTACCATATCTACAACAGCCTGGCTTGGAAGGAACTCGAAGATGCCATCACTAGCAACGACAAAGAACAGATGGTTAGGCGAGAGATGAACCATTGACACTTCTGGATCGGCTATGACTCCGATATCCTCGGCTGTACTATCTCCCACACTCCTCGTAAATGCAGTACCAGGGTACATTCCGTTCTGAACCCACAGTCTCGGTGGATCCCCGCCTTCGTTCTCTTCATCCCCCCACGTTTGGATATTGGGATCCTTCAGCCCTTCCACCTGATCAACGCTAAGAACTCTAGCCCCACACGACTTCACTCTCTCGCATTCATCTTTCCTAAACGGCGTCTGATCATACGACAAATCCTCCGCCAGAATCCGATTCCCATCCTTAACAGCAAGAACCGCCCTTGAATCACCTACATTGGCGACATACAGCTTATCCCCAACGACAAGAACGGTAATGGCTGTGGTACCACTCATCGAATCATCGATATCACTATCATGCAACTCCTCATTCGTCCTAAGGAAAGCAGACTTATAGGCTTTTTCTGGATCATCAAACAAGACGGGGTCTTCTGAAAGCATGTCCACAACCCTTTCCTTGACGAAATTCGAACACTGCGCACCAAAAACGCCATGGCCATCGAATACACCGAAGAAATGGGCATTTGGGTTACCTTGGAGCTGAGTCTTGATGCAGTAAGTGTCTTGATTCTCCTTATCAGGCGAATCAGGGTAGTAACCTCTCTGCGATAGTACAGAACACAGCAGATCGAAGTTGTGCGAAGGAACATGAACTGACACTAGTGGTCTCTGCACGACAGCCTCTTTTCCCTTGTCAGCATTGTACTCCTCGGCTTCTCCGTAATTCTTAGAATCTCCGTCAGACGATGACGAAGGGTAACGGCTACAACACTTGCAATGAACACAACCCATGTTTTTTTTTACGCAGGATCGGGGGAATGCTCAACGCAAAATCAAAGCGTTCACCAGAATACCCAGATGAAAATAAGGATTACCAACGGCTCTGTTTCTATATGAACAAGCAACTTCGAGGGAAAGGAAGAGATGGGTATTCCTCAAATTCAACAATGGTGCCTCCAAGGCTGAAGGGTTTTGCAGGATACATGTTTCCGCGGCAAAATTATAAAGGAGAAGGAAGGAATCAATACGAAATTTAGACCCGAAACCAGAATCTTCTTTGTTTTTTGCCGAAACAGTTTAACCCGGAAATCGAAGAGCAAACGAGAATCAGGACAAGTACAAAACAACCCAGATGAAGAAAACGAAGATACGGGGAAAAAAACACGAGAGGCGAAATGGAAAAAACCCAGAATCGTAAGTTTCGAAATAATAAACAGAAACCTCCACGTATCCTTTCCGTCTTCGTCTTCGTCTCCGTCTCCTCCTCCCTCGTCTCTTCCCTTACCTTCCGAAAAGGGTTAGTCCGTCAACCCTTTCGAGAGAAAAGTGACAAAATTCGAGAAACCCTAAAAGCCAAGCAGAGGAATTTCTTCGAAGAAGAATGTGAGGAGAGAGAGAGAGAGGGGACAAGATGTCAATCCAACGGATGGAGAACACGCGTGGGCTGGCCTCTGCAGAACCACTGCGCACAAACGCCAAAAACCCAAAACAAAATCTATATAATATTGCGAAAATCGAAATCTCTGTTCCCAATAAAAGACATTCGTGTTGATTTCCCCTCAACGAATCCGCTCAACTCAATTTCCTAATTGGGCTTAAAACGGGCTTTATTGGGCCTTTTTCACTTCCAAGCCCATTTCATCACTACCCAAATAATAAAACAATAATAAATCCAACTCACTAACATATCTATATAGAAAAAATATTTTAAAATGTGCGAATAATATAGATATATATTTTTAAAACCAATAAAATAAGAGTTTGATAACTAATACATGGACCATTACACGAAATAGCATTCTACATAGTACATAACATTATTACATTTCTAATTATTAACACTATTAGCGGATAGTTAAAAATGTGTCGGTAAACGATACATACATATACACATTAATTAATTATAATAATAATAATAATAATAATAACATTAACAAAAAAAATAATAATAATAATAAATAAAAAGGCACGAGAGTGAGATTCGTAGTGGGCAGTGTAAGTGCCCACTTTACACTGACAAAGCGAATCACTTTTCGCCACGTCAATATCGTGAGCCAATTATTGTCACGTGCACCGTATTTTCTGATATCTGGAACATTAGAGAAATCAATTAATTATATTAACTTAAGCTTAATTAAAATAATTAAACAAAACATTTGGACTCGTGTTTTAGCTTAGGGTCAAAACTGAATTATCATTACGCCCCCACGATTTTTTTTTAATATTACATTTTCAAAGCTTGCATTTATTTTAAACGGAAAATATTTACCAACAGTGATTGACATCAATTTATAGTGTACGGATATACAACAAAATAAATAAATAAATCATTTACCCTTAATTGCAGATATTATTGAAAATCACATATGGAAAATAGATTTAAAAAAAAAAGGAATATTCGATATCATTCATTCAGAAATCAGTTCTTTGTTTAAGCGTATATATATATATATATATATATATATTGACTAGATTCATTGTTATATTCTATTTGCACGATAAATTATTGATTATTCACGTAGAAATAAGTTTCCTCGTCGTAAAACAAAAAAAAAATACAATAAATTTATATAATTAAAATTAATTTGTTATTATATTTTTCATTCGATTATAACGTTTATGTGAAATTTAAAGCGTCGAAGATAAAAGATAATCGATATTAATAAAAGTTAAATATAGAAAAGGAGAAAAAAAATAATATAAACGTCGGGAAATCGAAACAAAAAAACGAAAAAAAGAAGAAAAAAAAAAAGAGGAAAAACAAAGAGCCAACTTGTTTTTTTTTTTACCATCCCACTAAAAATTCTACACACTGAACCTCAAAAATGCTTAGGCGTGACATGCCCAAGTGGGGCGCATTATCATATGTTCCCACTTTTATCTTCTCACCCAAGTCAACCTTTAGTCAACCAATCATTTTCCTCCACGTCATCACCTCATCTGTTCCCCCACCCTAATTTTTCCCTAACCGTTCTCCTCTGTTTTTTCCCCCCTGTTTCGTTCTCTCCCTCATCGCCATTTTTTCCGGTGACGCACTCTATTTCCGGCGAGGCGTGAATGTCTGATACACGACCGTCCCCGATCCTGGGAACTCGTCCATCAGGCGACTGCGACACTTGAGCCCAAGTTTCTTACTCAACACGCGCTCCACGCGCTTCGTCACCTCGTGACTGTACCCATCTCCGCCGTAGGTTGTCGAGATTGAGACATTACCCGGTCGGAAAACCTCCACCGCACGCTTCAGGACTTCCGCTACGTCATCTTCTCCGCAGTCGTACACTGACCCCACGCACTCGAAGCTCGCGTAGCTGAAGCCGTCCTCGGGCGTGACGTGGATGGTGGAGTAACGGTCGCCATCGACGCCGTTCATGGAGTAACCGCAAGGGTCAAACGCAAAATCGCAGATAAACGCGTTTGGGTTAATCGCATTTATGCCGCTGAGCCGCGTCATCTCCTTCCCAGCGGCGTCGCTGTTCTTGGCATTTTCGCCTTTCCGTCTGAAGAAGCTGCGTGCAAGGACGCGGTCGAGCTCCGTCATGCAGACCTCGAAGACGATCGGCTCGCAGGTCGGGACCAAGTCAACGCTCGCAGTGAACACGTGCCAAGCACGTGAGGGGTCGGTAGAGGGCATAACCGATGCTTTACGGTAACGGAGCGATTTGGGGAGATTCTCCTCTACGTAAACGACTTCGTCTTTGAAGCTGGTGTAAGGGAAAGGCTGAGACTCGGGGAAGATGAAGCTGCCGCGCGAGTATCGGCACGAGTGTAAGGCAAGGCCGAGGGTTCGTGCAAGACGGATCATGGGTCGGATCGATTTGAGGAGTTGAGTTGTGCCACATGTCTTGATGATGATCTTGGTCGGGTAAACGAAGAGGCTTGATTCGGACAGAACATAGGCGTCGAAGCTCCGGTTTGCGACGGCGGAGACGACCGTACACTGGACGGCGTGTAGCACTTCGTCGAGCGATTCGAAGTCGATGAGTCGGAGTCCCATGGCGTTGGACACCGGATCGTCTCCGAAGAATCGGAGCTCGAGCCTTTTCTCGAAACCCTCGAACCCGGAAACCGCCATTAGTGAACAGAAGAACGTGGAAATATCGAACAGAGCAGAAGAGAGGAGGTATATGTAAGTGCGGATGATGAAAGCCGAAGAGAAATGTGGATATGTGGAGAGAGAGAGAGAGAGGTACTGGTTATGGCTGAGAGAGAATTGTGGTATTTATAGGAGGGGTTTGGAGAGGTAGAGAGGAGAGCGAGGGGGCATGCGGGTGAAGAGACCAAGAATCATGATTGCAGGCATAATGAGGCGAGAAAGATGATGAGATATATGTGTGTGTGTGTGTGTGTATTTATGTATGTACATGTGATCATATATAAGTGTGTGTGTTTTTTTTGTGTTCTGTTAAATTTGTGAGACAGCGAGTTTAGGGTTTCATCATCGGGACAAAGAACATGAAACGGATTTTCTGGTTTTTTTTTTTTTTTTTTTTTTTTTTTTTGGTCGAATGCTGTCTTGTTCTTCGTTCGCCACTTAGTCTCTCTCATGCTGGCTCCAATCACCCATTACGTACGACTCATCATGCCAATAAAGGCCTGTTTTCACTAAGCTCACAAAAATATTATAATATATGCGTAAATGCACACACACACACACATATATATATATATATATATATACATATAGTGTCGACATGACACAAAAGATTTCGGAAGGTAGTGGAACAAGTGTCTGCTTCAAACATTAAGATTAATTAGTCCCTTGTCTATCAAACGACGTTAACCCATAATGGATCATATAGTTAATTATCTCAATCACATACTCACATACATATATATGCACGTAAAAAGTTTTCTAAAAATATTAAAACTTATAGATTATTAAATTTGGATGATCACATTACAATACATATTTCATGGATATGATATCACCCCCCGAATGCTCGATTTATGCTGAATTATTAAAGGGTAGATATGCGATTTTCTCTCCTTCCACGCATGTTGTAAACTGTCTCACCTCTTTTCAACACAAATCGTGCATGAAATTCGTAACTTTAATCGGATTGCCGTTAAATATATTTCTTATGATAAAACCGCAAAATATACGAGGATTTGATAACAAGGTTGAAAAAACTGAAGATATATTTATATGTTTAAAAATAAATTTTTCTAAAAATATATATCACTATATATGATAATCATACGTAGAGTCCTTGCTGTCGTCTTAACCGGAATCATGGATATATTACTCTCTTCATTCTGACCAGAACTATTTCAGTCTATATACCCTTATCTACAATATATATATATATATATGAAAAGACAATAAAAAAGGAGGAGAGAGTCCTTTCGAACTTTGAACGCACAGAAGGGAGATTTGCTAAAGATGATAATTAAAAAGGGCACAAAACTTATAATCCCAAATGATTCAACCATAAATTGCTTTGTCAGTGTTTCAAGATTTCATTTCGGTCGTTGATCTATCTATAAAATGAAGTTTTCGATTTGACTTTCATGGTTCTATATATATATTCCCTTACCCCAAACTGACGTCAATAGATTGTTATCATTGTATAAGTTGGTTCGAATTATGCGTGCATATACATAAGAAACACATATACGATATATATATATATATGCATGGCATGCATGATATACTGTTTTCATCATGGTGAATTGAAATGAGATTAGCAAATGTGGGTTTGTCTATTTCAGAAAAGGCAAAAGTTAATCGACAAATGGTCAGACGTGCCAAAAACATTCATCAATATACATATATTAGGATGTCGTAAAAATATCAATAATCATGTAGTAAATTAAATATTTATTTAAATAATAATATCAAGTCGATCAGGCGTGGCAACTAAATTATTATATGTATTTTTCTTTTCAATTTGATTAGGAAAGAATATGCTCCATTACGTGAAACGAAAAAGTGCACTTTCCACATCATTTTTATTCTTCATGCAATTTTATGTCTTAACATAACTCCGGCATTATCATTCTCCATTTTTTCAGGGATAAAAATGTGTGTGTGTGTGTAATGTGGTTGATATATATACGCAGTATAAATTGTCTTAATTAATTGTTTTCAAAAATCAAGATTTTACTTTATTTAATTATTGATTAATATTCACTTGTATGTGTATATACATCACATATATATATGTATCATATATCTTTACATCTAATTAACTAATTTTATGCTTTTAATTTCATCACAATTAAAACTAGTGTTGAGAAACTCAAATACCTATATAGATAGAAGGCGGATCTACGTTACAAGGAGGGTCACTGGCCCCCACTGATTTTTTTCTTTTTAAAATATTAATTGTAAAGTTTACTAAAATTTTAGTGAAAATATGTTAATGCCCCTGCTGAATTTTATCGTGGACCCCATACATTTTAATTTTTTTTTTGTATTTTGGGTTACTCGCCCTATATATCTAATTAAAAAACTGTTAAATTTTCCAAGAAAATTTGTAAAATTGCATAGAAAAATATTAAATTGCCCCCATAAAAGTAAAATTTGTCTTTAAAATTAAATGCATAAAATTTTGCCCCCATTTATAATATTCTCTAGATCCGACACGGTATAGAACCCCAAGAATGTTGGATAAAATTTGTGGGAAGTGATACTTCACATTTGTACGACATAATATACGGTACGAAAAAAGCAACAAAAAAAACTAGGGTATGACATATGGTTCAGCCCAACCATCACTACGTGAATTAGAAAAAAAAAAGAATTTTATTTATTGGTAAATTATGGAAAAAATACACTGCAGAAATAAAGGCCAATCATATTTTCCTGATAAATTTTAAAAAAAATATGTAATGTTTTCTAATTAATATGTTTATATTTACTTAAGGCTCCTGAATGCATAAATTCACGAGGGAAAGGGCATTCGAATGGGAACATATATGACAATATAATTTAATCTGTGACAACATTTATTTAAAGGAAAATAATTGATAGTTGTTACGCTTAAAATTGTTCCCTCATTACTAAATATACTAGCCTTAGCTTTTAATTTAAGATATTTCTCTTAAAGATTACAATAACAATGACATATCTTTTCCTTTGGGTTCAAATAACTATCAACATATTATATATATATATATATATTCACATTGAAGACTCTTGATATTTGGGTTAATTTAATTATTGTCATTACATAGGCGTTATTGGATTAAATACCGGTAATAGAATGAAGTTGAGGAATGATAAATCTCTGAGTTGTCCACCGAACAAATAAATTTCTATATTAATATATCGGTGGAGTTTGACGGATTGATGGAATTTACAGAGCGGCGAGTGATAAATTATTGCATTTATTTATTATATAAAAATGGAATGAAGAAAATCACTACAAAAAAAATGGTCATTTCCAACGGGCAAATCCGTTGGAAATGACCAAATTTCCGTTGGAAATTAACGTTTCCAACGGATTTCCAACGGATAAATCCGTTGGAATTTCGTCGTTAGAAAACGGTGTCCGTTGGAAAACCGTTGGAATTTTCAACGGAATTTCAACGAATTTTTCCGTTGGAATTTTCCAACGGATTTCCAACCGCAATCCGTTGGAATTTTCCAACGGATTTCCAACGGATTTAAATTTCCAAAAAAAATTCCAACGGATATCCGTTGGAAATACCGTTGGAAAATTTCAACCCAATTTTTTCAATTGAATACGTTGAAAATTCCGTTAAAAATTTCCAACGGGCGATTCCAACGGATATCCGTTGGAAATTTTCAACGGATTTTTAACGGAAATCACCGTTGAAATGCCGTTGAAAACCGTTGAAAATCCGTTGAAAAATTTCCAACGGATAAATCCGTTGGAAAATTCGTTGGAATTTGCTGATTTTTTTGTAGTGAATGTAAATAAAATGAGATTTATTATTAAAAAAAATGGGGAAGAAAGAAGGGAAGGTTAGGTAGGAGCAGTGAGCATTATGACCACAATCCCACCTGTGGTGCAGCACGCGCATGCACTCTTACATCACTCCCACACCACAGAATAATATTCCACGCATTTTATTTTTTTGTATTTATCTACCCTATTCACTATACATATAGTGTATGTATATATACAGTCTTCTATTATTTATTTGAATTTCTATAATTGGGTTAAACCATATATTCCGTATTCCATAGATTTTGACGGTACTTTATTGTATTAATTGTCGTCATTTAATTTTTGAGATATTCTCATAAAATGAATCCGGTATGTATATACATAGAAGGCCAAATCCATATGTATCGAATTATAATCAACTTATATCCTATAACATTATCATAAAAGCATTGACTATATACGATCCGATTCTTTATATATTCAAGTTTAGTTATCAAACACATAATGTTGCCTTTTGAAAATCTATATATTAATTGGGACTCTTGGAACAATATATGCATGCATTTGAAGGCATATATACATATGTATGTTGGATACAATGTATCATGTATCAAGCTATAGAAAAAAGGTCAAACCGCACAATTTCCATACGTAACGCCGCATGATTGAACCAAATCTTGCACCAAGAACGAGTCTCATACCCACATCGAGCTCACAAATTCTAAGTACACTTTTTACCCGCGCTAAAAGCAGCACCAAATCTTAAATATATCTACGTGGACGATTTTCTCCCTCTTCAATTATTTACAATTCCCAATTTTTTTTTTAAAAAATATCTCCTTTGTACTATTTGTACGTACGGGTTCTCATATATATATATTTTTTTTATAACGTACGGGTTTTCATATTTGTTTCTGATCAAAGATTCTAATGGAGATGCGAAACCGGTAATGCGAGCACTGTCCATTTTCCACTATCTATCCATATAACACACACAAACACACACACGTATGTATGTCTATATATATACGTACACATGCCTAGATATGAAGATAAGTATATAGTACTAACCAAATGGCTTGAAAAACCAAGAGTGGAACTTTTCATTATCCAAAATCCATGGTTGAGAGGTCCCACAATTTTATTATCGAGGAAGTTGAGTGGTGACCTTTCTAAACAATTTTTTGGTTTAATAAATAATTCGAGCATTTAGAGCATTTTCATTTGAATAAGGGTATGGTGGTGGCGATGACACGAGAAGTGGGCCCCAGA